TAACCTGTCATCTTTATGTTACCTGGTGGAATCATAACCTCTAGACAGAGCTGGGGTTCCTTCAGAAAGATCTTAGCACTTTTATAGATAAACAGTTTTCTCAGAATATGTGTTTGAATAGAAATCATAACCTGGTTTCATCATCCATGCCAATTCCCTCTGAACATTGAAAATCTACCAGACAGCTTTTTTCTGCATACCACATTGAGGTGAGTATCGGGAACCCATTTCCTGGTCTGCCATGTTTTAAAGAAAATATATGTTTTATATGATAATATGTTTTGGACAGTCAGAGAGGTATAAATTGGTCTGGTTTTAAATATGGCAAATCTATTTGCCATCTCTTTGGCAAAAGTATCACGGATTTACGTATCCTTTCTCAGTTCACCCCTCCTTCTTGTACTGCTGAACTATTGACAGGTGAAACAATCCCTTCAAGAAAGGGTCACACAGCCCATAATATGAGATACAACATATAGGTCTTCCTTTATATTGCTTCAGTGATGGATGTTTGTATTCCAATGACTCTGTACTGGACTCTACTACAGACATTCACAAGGCTCTACCACTTGAATGCTGTAGGTGAGCTTCTAACTTCTCTATTCCTTTAAAGGGGTACATCTGTCCCTAATATCCAAAGTGATCAAAGTGATCAACACTTTATATTCCATCACCGTATCTGAACTGCAGGTTTGGTATGCATCTTCCCGGATTGTTGTTTTCAAATTAAATGTAAACAGCTCATTATATATTTGATTGTAGTCTTTATTCCTTTATTCGTTTAGTCTTTATGGAGCTGACAACTGAAATACAAGGTGGCTGTTACACAGCAACACAGCTCGTCACAAAATCACAAATAACACCCAACTGATGCTCGATTTATCAATCCAAGGGAAGCATGACCTGAGATGTTAGTTGAGACGGTGATATTAGTGCTCAGCAAGCCTGCCTGTCTGGTACGGATACCCCACACCTTAAGACTTATAAACATAATGTATTGTTAATTGTTGCATTCAAAAGAGACCACTGATTTCTATTGATGTCCCTTTATTTAGCCAACAATTTTTATTCTCATTCCTTCACAAATGTTAGTTGGTTTCTGTTCACCATGGCTGTAATTAGTCAACTTTAGCTAAAACAATTTTATGTTATTTATTTATTTTTAATTATATATTAATTCAATATTCACTACTTAATTATGTTGAGCATTGTTTTAGAATCACACAAGTACTTGAATATAATTGTCTTTTTGTGTGACCTCATATCAAGAGCGGTTTATGAGTTTTATACATGAGAAAGGGAAACTGTATGAAAAACCTCCTGTTTCACAGCTGGTGACGATGTTGTGTTATTTCCAATCGCTCCTGGCCTGGTCTGTGTTCATGCTGTAGGAGTCTCCCTGTCTCACCTTCCTTTGTTCCGCTGTCGCTCAGCTACATCTGATGGCAGCAGAAAAAAATCCAGATGGATACCCCACCGTTGTGCCTGGCATAGAGACTCGGCAAGCCTAGGCATTCAATGCGGTTTCAGTCCAAAAATGGAAAGTCCCTATTTTTGACTACTTTTTTCACTGCAGCTACAGAGAGCTGTAAGGTTCATTAATTGTTCAATAATGAAACAAGCTTTTAATGAACAGCTAGCTTCTGCTAGTCATTTATTTCACATGTGCTCATATAGCTTTTTACACTTTCCATCCAGTCATAATAGTGTCATAAAGCAACCTGAGATGCCACACACTACTAACATCCATCAGTACAGTACTACAATGGATTTAAGTTGCATTGCTAAATATAATTACATCCCCTTTCCTTCGAAAGCTGAAAAACAAATTACATATATATATATAAACACAGTGACAAACATAACTGAATTCATCTCATACTACTAGCTTATACATTCATCTGGATTCATTCATTTTAAAGATTCAGTTTGTCTGTGTTACAGTGGTCATCTGCACCTGGTTGTTCTGTGAATGTCTCTTGTGTTTTAAGAGGCTGCTGTGATTCCTTCTGAGTATCTGTCCATTTTTCAGTTTTCATTGTGTACAATCTTAGACTCACTTCCTCTAGAGCTGTGCCTCTTTTATTCCAAGAATTTGTATCTTCAGCATCATTGTTCAAATCAAAGCATTATTTTACTCCTGGTACCATATAATGTTCATTAATTGTTCAATAATGGAACAAGCTTTTAATGAACAGATAGATTCTGATTCTAGATTCTAGTCATTTATTTCACATGTGCTCACGTAACTTTTTACACTTTTTGTTTTATAGTTTTTTTTTATATTACTGTCGTTATAGTGTTGTAGCGCAACCTGGGATGCCACACACTACTAACATCCATCAGTACAGTAGTACAATGTATATAAGTTACATTGGTAAATATCATTACAAAAGCTATTTACTGTACCTAAAGTGCATTCCTGCACTCAGCTCTGAGAAGCTAGCCCTGGAAAGAAAATCACATCTTAAACTGAAAAAAAATTAAACTGTCTTGTAAAAACATGATATAAAATATATCCAAAACCATTTCTGTCACATGGTTCAGCATAATCATTGCTATACCAGCATACTGTGGTATAAAAGGCAAGATGACTGGTATGTATAGAATTTATACTGTAGATTGTCAGTGCCTATCACAGTAAACCTGGACTCTGGTAGTGATCCGGTTAGTGAGAAAATTGGATTTTTAAATACAAAAAGTATTTTGATCAATCCTTGGAGGCAAACATAAAACACAACACAGAAAATGAAAGTCAGTCTCGGGAATCTCATCTTCACGATTGACCATTTCTGTTACAATTTTTCCCCTGTTGGTAGGCAGACTCTTCCTGCTGAGTTTGTTACCTACTCATCTGGAAGGCTAAAACAGACTTGGTGTAGCTTTTTAAGTAGCTGCCTGTGAATGAGTTTAATATTTTCAAAAGAAACAATTTGATGGGATTTATTTCACATTTATATGCAAGCCCTTCAAGAAAGGACTACCCATTTCATTATATTCACACATGTTCTAAGAGGTGTGGGGCTGGTACCAATGGAACAATAAACACCAGGATTTTTTACCTCCTTTAGCTGAGGTTTTTGAGCATCAAGCACATTCAATTCACTTTTTTTACTGTGACTCTTAACAATGCTTTGGGAACCCCACAAAAAAAGAAAAACTACAAAATGTTATTTAGTTAGATGAGTTGGAGCATCAAAATAGAACTTTAGTCTTAAGATTACAGCTTGTGTTGTGTAATTAGATGATATTTCCTTTAAAAGCTGTAATGAAAAGGTGTGATGTAGTATTATATTATTGCCATAGGCTTTTATCGGTAGAATTTCTTTATTTGAGTATGTTATATAAATGAGTAACCTCATTAAACTAGAGAAACATGATTTTTGACCTCAAGGCCACATAATCCATTATTAACTGAGAGTTATGCTGTGTTACTAAGCTTTTTTGCTAGTTATGTTTTTGGTTTTTGTTCATTACACTCACAACGTTTTTTTTGGGGGATGGGGTGAATTTAGTAATGGCAATTCTTTAAAAAGCTAGTTTCTAACTGAAAATCAGTAGCAATATTTATTTCATCCTAGACTGTGTATACATTCAAGTCTTGGAGCCACTGTGGTTTGTATACGGTACATGCCTCATTAACAACTAAAAAACAATCATTTTATTTTGCCTATTGTGTTTTGTTTTGTTTGGAGACTCATGGTTTCAATCCCATTCCTTAGACTCTCGGTACAGCACTTTATTTAGGCATTTGAACACCTGTTGTGTAAACTGTACTTAGTACTAACACTGTATTTGGTAGATCCCCTTTTACCAATAACAAAGAGAAGCTACCATTATATAAAGGCAGCTCATGAATACCAGACTTTAGGGCTCTTAGTTTTCTTCTGGCTTGTATATTTCCTCTTTCACAGAGCAAGGTTTTGGTTATAACTGAAGCCACAACAGTCATACAAGACGATGAGAAGTGATACTGAGCATTTCTTTTTTTGCAAAGTTTTTATGCTGAGACTTTAATTCACTGCTTACCTTTCGTTAATAAACACTAATTCAGTGTTGACTATTGAGGACATCTGGAACTCTGTGGAAGGCCTGTGTTAAATTCAGGCTTTTGTCGTTGTTTCAAATTCTCTTACAGTACATATAGAACCAATTTTAACAGATCACTCATTGAACCTTCTCTTTTATAACAGCAATGTGAAACATATCATATTGTTCACTCTAAACTTGCTGTAGAGTACTCAAAAGTATGCTAATTATTTTTTTGAATAACAATAACCGTGGCATAATCACATATTTCTTTATTTTAATCCTTTTTCTTAGACATTTGAAATGTCAGAGAAAAATCAAAATTTTACTGTGATCTGGCACCTATAGCTTGTGGGGGTTTAATGAGGAGATGATTGCTATGGGTATACAGTACTATACTCTTCTTGTTTTGTAATGGAACAAAAATACAATGCCAATGTACCACTGAAAAATATCTCTGTATGCAAATAAGACATATAAGTGGGAAGTGAAATACAGTGGAAATTGTGGGCACATTTTGCTTATTTTGACAATAAAAAAGATGAGCTTTAACACTTAACAATAATACATTGAATAGATATATTGTTTTTATAAGTACTGAAAGAAAAAAATCCATACTTTTTCCATAATTAATACTCACATGGTATGATCAGCATCAATCGTTTTAAAACAACTTAATACATTTCAGACACCACCCCATTTTATAATTTAAAAATACATTTATTAAATGTATCTAATTATGCATCAAGCGCATAGAGTTTTCCAATCTAAAGCCTACAATATAGTGGAGGATATATCTTCCTGCCTCAAAAAGGACACTAAATAAAAAAGCTTTTCATTTCATTCCTTAAAAAAGTTGAAAAGGAAGTGTACGTGGATGTACAGAATTGTGAAATATTAAGCTACTACTAAGTAATCTTACCCGTTTAAATAAGAGAACATACCTCTGAATCATGAGGACAAAGCTGTGTTTCTAACTAGTCTGTAATAGTAACCTACCTCAAAAGGGAAGAAAAACTGGGACTGCTTTGATCATGTAGGATTACCTTGGGAATACGCTATTTTTTGCACTAAAGAAGCAAGACATTTAAATCGAATTACCTGCGCTCCCGGGATTTACCTGTAACGCCATCTATTTCAATACATTTCCACACCTTTTTTTATGCTGTTACCTGTACGGAAGTGAGTATAAAGGGTTAGGCACGTAAGTATGTCTGAACAACATTCAGTGTCGGCGATACCTTTCCAGGTGAGATTTAACTCTTTTTTATTTGTAATGGATTAACAATGGGTTTAAATGTCATTTGATCGGTATTTCTAAAAAGAAACAAAACAGGGTGAAAAGCGCATATAACCGATTATTTAATAACTGTTTCGTTTTTACCTGTGGCAGAAACGACATTGAAGACTAATGGAGATCTTACTGCTTAGTCTTATTCTTCTACAAAATCTCTGCGATGTGGAAGGTAGGAATTGTATGAAGTTCATTTCTTCCCGAATTAATTTAATCTTTAATTGGGAGCCTGGTACCATCACATAAATAAGTCAATAATGTAAATCCTCGTTTTGGTAAATCTGAATTCGCAGTCGACTGCAAGACTACAGTTATAATGGAATGATCTTTAGTTTGTACGCACAGAATATTTCTGTGATTTGTTCATAGAAGGTACAATTTGAAAACAATGCCTTAGTATAAGTGAAAATCATATGCATTGTGAGTCCCTGGTATATCTTAAAAATGTAAGGAACCTCTGCGTTAAAATGCATTCGATTCGATTGTAAAGAAAATCGTTATTTTGTACTTTACAGTATAGTATGTGGTTTAACAGAAGGCATGCTATCTGATATTCTTATTTCACGATAAATAAAAAGGACCAGTTAACGTGCTAATGTGGATATCAACTTTACATCTTTCCTTGAAACTGAACACAGAAGAAATGGAAATTGCTTTAATTTGGTTTCAATATGTTTATTTTAGAAACACAGTTTCCAGTTTAAAAATCGTATCTATTACAATATTTGCTGATGTACTGGATATACTTTTACAGTATACCGTATACCTGGCTATACGTAAGTATACTGTACCTAAGTATACAGTAATTATATACTTAGGTATACCTGGATATACTTAACAATATTGTCTTTCTTTCTTCCATCTAATATAAATTAATAAGGTAATTTATTTAGTGTTTTTTTTTTGCTTATTTCTTCCGGCATAGCATTGTTTATGCTTTTCACTTTTTAACCAAAAGCACAAAGAGTGCAAGACGGCCGTAATCTGCATTTCATCACATATGCTTAAATGTACAATGAATGATAAATGTTGAAAGTCATTGTATAGCAAGTGAAACTTTGAAGTCGTGAGAAGACGAACCGCTAAAACCATTGTTGGTTGTGATAGGAACTTGTTCATCGGGAAGCGCAAGAAACTGCGAGGACTGCTTACGACTTGGACCACACTGTGCCTGGTGTTCTCGGGAGGTGACGCAAATGCCACATATATTAATACATCAACCACTGTTTATATGCTATGTAAAACATATAAATCTATCACTTCCCACAAGCACAAATACATATCTGATACTTTCCTTGTGTTTCATTACACCTTGACTTTTAACGTAAATGCAACTGTATATACAGTATACTGCACATTCTTAATATAATTGAATTACATTTTTGCATCTGGAATGTTTTTTGTTTCCCTGCTTGCACTTAGTGTGATATGGTTATTAATTAATACATTTCCCATTTCAACTAAAGGAAAATGTGAAAAGGTAGGGACTCGGGACAATTCCTATGATACAAGTGTTCCATCTGATTTCCTAAAATTCGGTTTCAATCTGTTTAATTCTTAGAATTTTACAGATTCATTTTCCACAAATGAGAGGTGTGACACTGTGGAAAACCTCGAACGTAAAGGGTGTCCAGTAGAGTTTATCGAATTTCCAGTCACACGAATGCTGATTCACACCAGCAATGCTCTGGGCAAGGACGGCAACTCCAGTGTCACACATATTGCTCCACAAAAAATGTCGCTGGAACTACGACCAGGTAAATGCCACTACTAACTTGGGTTCACAATGAATGAACAATAAGTGAAATGTATGAATGAACAATAGTGAATGAACAATAAGTGAAAAGGTGCCATTTTCATCTAAATACTGTATATGCAATGTACTGTACATAAGCTATCTAGAAGGGAATTTGATAAACTTAACACATTTTAACATTTGCATGTCAAGCTCAATTAAAATGCCTTTCCAGAATATACAAAATGTACTTTTTTGTAATTGTTGGCAGCAAGCAAGATCACATTTCAAATCACTGTTCAGCAAACCGAGGATTACCCGGTGGATGTTTACTATCTGATGGACTTGTCGGCTTCTATGTCTGATGACCTTGAAATGATCAAGGATTTAGGATCTACCCTTTCCAGGGAAATGGCCAAGCTGACAAGTAAATTCAGGCTGGGCTTCGGATCTTTTGTTGAAAAACCGGTACTCCCTTTTATTAAAATCACCCCAGGAGAGTTGGAGAACCCCTGCAGGTAATGATTTAAACATACATTGAGCAGATAATGATTTTAACTTAAATTTAATGGTTATAATATAAAGCCTATCAATTTTGTAACATCTTCTTAATTAACCTCTTCTTAATATTGTATTACTTGAATAATTAAATGCTACGGTACCTACAAATTGCTTTATACTAGAAGCAATAATTTCTCATGAATAAAAAGTTCAAGTTTAACCTTTCCACCCGATGTGATTATAAACAGACCAGGTGCAGAGAAGTGATAATGAACTTTTAACATTTACTGTTTTTCAGGAGCCATGAAATGCACTGCTTGCCTACATTTGGATATAAGCATGTACTACCACTTACAAGCAGTGCAGAAAAATTTAATGATATCATCACCAAGCAAAAGGTTTCGGCTAACATTGACCTACCAGAATGTGGATTTGATGCTATTATGCAAGCAGCTGTTTGTGGGGTAGGTGGCCTTGTAATTGCCCAAGGATGTTATTTTTCTATCAAGCATTTAGCTAAGTTATGTGGTATAACTAAAAGTGTAGTAAATGAAATATATTGATATTCAAATACTTCAAATAAGTACACAAACTTATACTCCCATTCACATTTCTGTTAGAAAAGTATATGTTTTTTTAATCAATTAAAATCATCTAATGTGCACCGCAAAATAATACCTCTCTTTTCAGGATAAGATTGGGTGGAGGAATGATTCTATGCATCTAGTGGTGTTTGTTAGTGATGCTGACTCTCATTTCGGAATGGACAGTAAAATGGCAGGGATTGTCATTCCCAATGATGGAAAATGCCACTTGGACAGCAACAATGAATACTCCAAATCAACTGTTTTGGTAAAGTGGCACCTTATATCATTTTCAGATTTAATGCAGTATAGTGATGAATATATTGTGAAGAATATATTTGGCACAAATGTAAGAATTTAGATTGAGAATGTCATGCAACTACAATATAATGTAGTGTAGCAGCAATACAACAAGTTAGGAGCTTTATAAGTGGCTAAACTATAAGAATTAAAAGTTATAAATGAATATTTATATTAAAGGTCTTAAGAAAGGTCTTAAACAAGAGAAGGCCATTAGGTCCATCTTTCCAATTTGGTTGCTAGTGTCTTAATGGTATATAATTCCCTGTATGAATTTCTACTGTGTGTTACATTTCTTAAAGGTCCCCACTGAGTCAGAGTCCGATTATTTTCTTTCCAATGTTTTTAGGAGTACCCAACGCTTGGACAACTAATTGAAAAGCTTGTGGAAAACAACATTCTTCTGATTTTTGCTGTGACTGAAAACCTAAAAAATAACTATGATGTGAGTTGACATCTCTCTCCTTTTCCTGTAAGAGCTTTTCAAAGAGCTTCATTTTTAAAGGGATGAAAACGGTTCATTTGTAAGAAGGAGACAATTAAAGATGGAACAGATCCTAAGGCATGTCTATGTTATTAATGGAGTTACATTTGTCTAAAGCAGTGTGACCACCTTGTAGCCTGATCTCATCAGATTGCTCTTGCTAAGCAAGGTTGGGCCTAGTCAGTACTGGGATGGGAGAGCTTTAAGGAAAACTACTTTGGTGGTGTTGGTGCACCAGTAGGTGCACTCTTCTCTCTGCTTCCCTCTGGAGCAGACTTGCAGTATTATAGTATTGTAACCCTATGGTGACAGAAGATACTTTGTTGTAAATGCTGTCGTTTGGATAAGACTTTAACCCAAGGTCCTGACTCCTATGGTCATTAAAGATCCCATGACACTGTTTGTAACAATAGGGATGTTATCTCTGATGTCCTGGCTTAACTCTTGGGTTTCTTGAAACTCCCTGACTTTCTGTAGTAATTTAATAATTGAAGCAAATCCTCATTGCTGTACCTATGTGTACTGGGGCTACAGATGCATACTGGCTGCTGTGCATCACCCAGACAGATGCTACTATTCAGTCATGGATGATGTAGGTCTCCGCCTATCAGGGCTGGCCCTAAATTGTTTGGGGCCCCTAGGCAAGATCTTGGCAAGGGACCCCTCCAGATCCCAATTTGCACATGCACTACTATTATCAGCTCCCAACACAACCTTGTTTTACTAATTAGGACAATAAAATCAATTAATTGTATAACTTTTATTATCCTGAATCTATTAACTTCTGGTGAAAATACCTCATGTAGTGTACATCTCTAGCTTGAAAATGTTATGTCTACCGTTTGCTTGATATATGTATTCATTATTACAACATCTTGATTAGGCATACCTCTGTTTTGAGATCCTGCTTTTTTTTCTGTGCTTCAGAAACGTTATGTACATTCGATTGTGCTTGGCCATTTTTTTACTTCCATTAGGGTACAGCAGCAATGGAAAGAGCCTCTCTAGGGAATTTTCTGCTCACATTTGAACGCCATGTAATGTCATGTCATTTGCCAAAACGCTTTACACCATACAGTGTCGCGGGAAGCCGGAGCCTACCCGCAAGAAACAAGTTCAAGGCAGGTTACAGCCTGGATGGGGTGCCAGTCATACATGGGGACAATTTGGAGGCCACGGTAAAGGCTGAGGGGGGAAATTTGGCCCTGACACTGGGATAACTCCCTACTGTTCTCGAGAAATGCCTGAGAAATGCCCAGGGATCTTTAATGAACACTGAGAGTCAGAACCTCGGTTTAACGGCTCAACCAAGAGATGAACATTTGAACGTGCAGATTAAAAATATGTTGTTTTGCACAGTGAGGGGCCCCCTGGTGGCCTCAGGGCCCCAGCAGTCACCTAGTTCGCCTGTGCTCAGGATTGGCTCTGCCTACTATTGCTTAAGCACTTTGGGGACCTTTAGGAAGCAAAGTAGAACACCAATATGAGCATTATTATTATTGTATCAACATTAATGTGATTGGAAACATTTAATACACCCAGCACTGGTGCTGTATGTTTTGCTCTGTCCAGCTTCTTAGTACTAATGTCAAATTTGCTCAAGAGAAAAACACTTCCCAGTTTATTATCTGACCCGTTAATTAGTAATAGAGACAGCACCATCTCTCTAAAGCAACATTGCAAAGCAAAAGCATGCTTATCACAAATGTGTTCTCAATAATCAGGCTCTAGCACGATTTTTTGCCAAAGTGCTGTGACTATGTACCATCATTTAAAATAAAGTCTGTAGAAGTCCTGAGGTACGGTTGATGTTGATTTTAGACTAATAAAACTACTAAAAACATTTCACAAAAATTCAGTTTTTATTGCAAAAAATGCAACTCAATTCAGAAGCTTGATTCTGCACTCCTGTCAGCACTCCTTGACAGTTAATTACACAATAAATTAACAATACATGTGTATTCATGTCTCTTTACATGCACTGCAGACAAAAGATTTGTGCAGATTGCATTCTTGTAACCATAAATTACATTTGCAAGCATAAGTTGAATGTTTTTGTTCCTGAGGAAAGAAGCTATTTCAAACCGTAGTGCACAGCTTGGGAAACGACCAAAACAAGTTGCCAGAAATACACATATTAATATCCATTAAAGTGAAAAGCTTATTGGGAGTTATGTGTAAAAATACTTTATTGATGGGAGATACTGTAAGTAGAAATGTTGTCACAAATAGGTTATCACCAAAGCATGGAATTACAAAGCATGGAATTTTATATCACATATATGGGTATGATCAATGGGACTAGTTTGATTTTGTTATTCATTGTTATGTGCATGGTGTCCTTTTGCAGAATTATGCACAAATGATTCCAGGTGCCAAAGTTGGAGTTCTCCGTGATGACTCGAAAAACATCCTTGAACTCATTGTGACAGCATATAAAGTAAGACAAGCAGATTGTATGTGTGTGTACTAGAGATTTATTTCCATTCTGTAACCTGTTTTCTGTTTGATTAACATGAGGATTAGGTTTCCACGTCAATACACTGTTCACAAAATACATAATTAACAGTTCTGTAAAAAACAAACACAGGGAAAAACAGGTGAAATGAAGAACTAGGGCCTGGCATAGGGGGAAATATGTAAAGCAAGGTCAAGGAAGCTAGGTGTGAGAGTATTTATAGTGTCTGAGCAAGGGTTCCCCTCCCTTCTCTAGGCTGAATCATTGTCTGCAGTTGACAGGCCTCTGCATGCTTCTTGTTTGATGTCTTCTGTGTGTTTTTTTACCCCTCAAATCCAGCTTCAGACGTGAAGCGCATGAGGAGGATTATGCTAAGAAGCAAATTAAAAATCTTCCCTGTCTCTTGACCCTGACACAATGAACAAAGCAGTAGCATTTATATTTCTGTGTAGTCGGCTGTATTTCTCATTTTATAAGTGGTTTAAAATATGTGTTTTTTTTTAATCAAACAGACAACTCGTAGTAGTGTGCATAACTGATAAAGATTCTGGATTCCTTATTGAGAGGTTGGGTTTCCAGGTTGAGATGCTGTTCCTATATCCTTGAGTAAAATGCTCTGTCCAAGAGTGATGCAGGTAGATATATATATATATTAGTAAGTATGCAGCAACAACTGTATGCAAAAAATAGGTAATTATGAAAAACAATATGAGTGGCTCAGCTGGTAAAGTTCCCCAGTTCCCCAGGCAACAGTGCGCAATTGTCTCAGTAGGTTGGGCTCAGTTAGCCAAGTCTCTTGCAGTTGTCAGTGATACATTGATCCCTGTGGCCTCGCAGGACACCTCTCCTCCAATCAGTGCTGTTGAAAGGTGAACAGCTTGAAAGTGGGAGGGTCAGAGGAGTATGTGTGCACTTCTTCATTCTGCCCTGTGCACAGTTGCAGGGTTCACGGGTTTCTGAAAAAAAAAAGTTGCTTTGGAACTTATCATTTTCAGGCCAATTATTTTTGTATTATCTCTGAAACATTTTGAAAGGTTTTGGTTTATCCAAGTCATTTTATACTTGCATAAACACTCACAGCAATTACTCATTTGTATTTATTTATTCAGGTACCGTTTAACTACTATTGAAATTAAATATCCTGACTCTTGTTTTGATGTTGTTGTTTGTATGCTTGTTTTTAAGGGACTGCGCTCAGAAATAAAAATGGAAGTTATAGGTGACACTAGTGACCTACAGATTTCTTTCACCTCTCTATGTCGTGAGGGAGAAGTTGTTCCTGGGCAGAAATACTGTTCTCATGTGAAAGTAGGAGACAAGGTTAGTCAGAATGGAAGCGCTTCATCACTGCTTTGAATCATTTATGATCACATGAATTTAACAAATGTGGCCAAATATGTGAAACAGTCCAGACAGTCAGCTACAAAAACCAGTTCAGTGCACAATGTTGTGATGTCCAAGCAAGTGTTTAGCCAACAACAAATGCAACTCTATGAAAATATTAAAATCAAAATTGGCCTGTTCACTCACTCCACTGGTTAGTGAGTTGGGGTACTTTGTATCTGTGCTCATTAAAGGCATTTACAGATTCAAAGATCAGATAATTAATATATTGAGACATCTGGTTAACAAGGCTGATACCCAGAAATCATTTTATTGTGGAAAAGGAGTTTACACAGACCTACAGTTAAAATGCTAATGTTATGTAACAGTCTGCAATATGATACTGTTCTGTCTTAATTTTCATTCTTCAAAAATATAGTTTTAAACACAGTTTGCAGTACAGAAATAAGTTGTGGAAAAAAGCTGAACTTATCGTGATACAGAGCACAGCTATGGGGTGTGCAGTTACTAAAGATAAACCTATTGATCGCATGTTGTTTATGCACAAAAGATCCCTGAAAAATTGTCCCTGTAAACATACTTTCCCAGGACTCCTTCACATAGTTTCTATCATGGGAATGAGTCACACACTAGGGCTGCTGAATTGTCCACAGAATTTGAGTGGTGTGCCTGGCTCCAGATGGAACTAGTGTCTTTTTTTGGCATTGGCTATTTATTTTCTGTTACCTACTCTACACCACTTTGTGGGAATCAGAGACATTTTTCTGCTCAAACATTTAGAATTTATTTGATAATTTGAGTGTGTGTTTTACAGGTTTCCTTTAATGTTACTGTGGAATTGTCCAACTGTCTGAAGAATCCCAAACACTTTTCAATAAAGCCAGTAGGATTCCAGGATGCCCTAGAGATTGAGATTCAGGCCCTGTGCAGCTGCAACTGTCATCAGGCACCAGAATTGAACAGCACCAGGTGCAGTGAAGGCAAGGGAACCTTAGAGTGTGGGATGTGTGTGTGCAACTCTGGCTACATGGGGCCCCACTGTGAGTGCACAGAAGACAGTATGCAAACCAGCAACTGCAAGGAGCAGCCTGGGGCTGAGTCCTGCAGTGGCCAAGGAGAGTGTTACTGTGGGGAGTGTATCTGCCATCCTTCCAGCTTTGGGAACATTTATGGAGCTCACTGTGAATGTGACGACTTCACGTGTATGAGGTTTCGAGGAGTTCTGTGTGGAGGTATGTAGCCACTGGCTCTGTGTGAGCCAGTAACCACATCACAGAGCAGTTATTCTAATTCATGCCAATGAACTAAAAGTGTTCTGTTTAATGTTGATGATCCTATTTGTCTCCTAATCAGGGTACAGATAATAAGCTGTGCTCAGATCTCCTTAATTATTTTTAAAACTTAATACAGTATATTGCACCTTTATTTCTTTCAGATGCAATATTTAGTTATCTGTGTCCTCTCAGGCAGTCATCTCCTTTAAATCCCAGGGACCTGTGCTATGGCTTAATGGACAGATATTTATTATTTTTCTGTCTGTATATTTGAGACTTTTCAATAGAAAGTTAGCTTGTGAAATTATTTTTTCTTCTTACGAACCAATCAGCATAGAAAGGGTCAGAACAGAAATAGATATGATTCATTCACGCTGTGTTTTACTTATCTCTTAACTGCATTTAACATATCTTTGAATGCACACAAGGTAGACATAGAAAAGGTACACATAGAAAAATTAGCATGTCTCAAGGGGAAATTGTGTTTGCTCAAAACAATATTTAGAAAAAATATAGCAGTAATACCGAAAGAAAGAAGTAACATAAAATGTAAATTAATTCCTGATATCAAGCTGAAATGGAGATTAGACATATTAATGACTTTGATTGCATCTTCTAGATTGTGAAAAGTGAAAAATAGTAATTGGAAATGAAATGTATGTTTAAAGAATAATATTTAATTGTTTCTGACTATTATTACTGTTTGTGCTAGGCTCATATGTGGAATAGAGAGGTTACAATCTTCTTTTGATTCTGTAGCAGAAAGAGTTTGGTTTTTTCGTTTAGAAAAATGGAAAAAACTTACTGTGACCTACTGTAGTATGTTTTATGAATCTGGACCTTTATACATTCTTACATCTGTATTCCCTGAGAAACTATCACGTACCTTTCTGTTGGTTTTATGGTGTTAAGGTCATGGTGACTGTGACTGCGGAGAATGCCTTTGCCACAGTGGCTGGACTGGTGAATACTGCAACTGCACCACCAGCACAGACTCCTGCTTGTCCAGTGAGGGAGTTCTATGCAGTGGCAGAGGGAAGTGTGTCTGTGGTCAATGCGTTTGCTCAATTCCTGGCGCTTCGGGTGACAAGTGTGAAAAATGTGCCACGTGTGGGGATTCCTGCAGCTCTACAAGGTAAATTTAGCAGAAATTTATCAGAGTTAAGTGAATACTGTATACTGATATAAGTGATATTTACGTTTCTCCTTAAATAAATGAGCACTATTATTATAAAGAAGAATGTTCCCTGCCGGTTGTATGAAAAACTGATAAAAAATAAACTTATTAAATCAGCAACTGATTTTCTAAATCAGTGAATACATTTAGTTCTTTACAAATAGCTTGTCAGGGGTATACATGTCTCAGTTCCTGGTAATGGTTACAAAAAACCCCACAAAAACAAGAGTATTTTCTTTCACTTTTCTGAAAGCCATCTGCATGAGTTATTTATATAACATCCAATATCACTTGTTAATTCCTTGGGAAACTCTTATCAAGACACTAATCAAGTATTTGAAAGTTTAAAAAAAAACAACACAAATGTTTCATTTAAAGAAACAACCCTGAGGGTAATAACTGCTCCTGTTACAACTACCTGTTCAGAAGCGTTTTTTGGTGTGCCTTTGTGCAGAACAAAAACACAGTGCAAATACGTTATCTTTAGAATATGACAGAGATCAATGTCTGTGTTTTATTAGAGGTTGTGTGGAATGCCACTTGTTTGCAAAAGAGCAGTCTCTTGAGGAATGCCACCAGAAATGTAGTGCACTTCATATAACAGTCAACCAGACATCAGGTGAGTGAACTGTGAGACTGACTGTAAATTCACTTAAATATTTCTCAGAAAATGCTGCAAACATTCACCATTAACTTTAACATAAAGACTACTTAGAAACTTAGGTGTTAGTCTTGTTGTCCTTACCGTGATTCTCCCAGATATCTGAAATGATTAATTATACCACACAATAGACCTTGTTTGTATTAAACCACTCTTCTGGGTTCCTGTGAATCAGAATATCATGAGTGGGAAAATATTACTGTCATATTAGTTGTCCTAACACAAGGTATTTTCACAACAAAAAGGAAAAATAGGTTATAACATTATGTTATTGTTTTGTTGTTCCCTTTTCCTAAACCAAAATATGCTTTTATAATTTACAATTGTTAACACTGACTCAGTCATTGTTAGTACATCTTTATATGTATACTACCATATATTGCCATAGTAGTTATAAGTAATATAAATATTATGCTTTTTGATTTTATGTGGATATTTAAACTTTTCACAGAATCATATTGATCTGAAACATATGCTTAGCTGAGAGCAAGAACAGTGCTATAAGAAGATATAAAGAGTAATAAGTGTTTAACGTTGTGCATCAATAGCATGGGAGTTTCATAGTAAATTATCCTTAGAGAATTCTAAACTAAGATACCATGTTAAACTTTTACACGGATCAGGAAATCCTAGGAATGCTGAACTCCGATGATTCCCTATACCCACAGACTCCTTTGGAACACTGTCTATATTTGTTAGTTGTGACACTTAACAAAGGATAACATATTCTTTACCTTGTCGTACAGACAAGTCTATTGTTAGCCTTTTGAATGTGAGCTCTAAATCCCTTAAATAGTCATTATTATGAGCTCATTCACACTAATGCAAGTTGAGAGGTGTATCTGATGGGCAAAGCTGATGGACCAAACATCTGAAGGCTGCTAATCTGAGCCACAAAGAGGAACAGAGAGCTTGTCAGTCTTTGACATGGAAATCAGAGCTGCACAAAAAACAGACTATCTTCTTACACTTCTATAGGCAAGCATTGTTGAACAAGGCAGAAGCAGGGGGATTCTATAAATTACCATAACCCCACTTTAATTAAAGTATTGTTTGGACTCTTATGTTATTGCAATGGGTGAAACAGAAATTCAGGAGTCACAGAGGTATAAAAACAGTCAGTGAGAGAAGTTTAGCTTTTCCATTAACTAGGCTTAGCTTGATTCTAATTGTAATTGGTCCAGTATTACTGGGCATCGCATTTAATGTATCAAGTACGTAGGCAGCAAAACTGATTACAGTTATGCGTGTACTTTATATATACAAGATACATATTTTTGAACATTGTTATTCAATTGAATGACCTCAGCTATTTTTGATAGATCATGTTGGGTTTTTGTTTTTTGTAAGCTAATTGTTTCTCAGCTTAATCTATTTGAATTTTCAGACAATATAGGAAGTGAGTCTCTTTTCTGCACTTTAAAGAGTGAAAATGAGTGCGTTATTTCATTCTATGTGGTGGCTAATGAGCACGGAAACAGCGTTTACAACCTAAAACAATCTGGTGAGCCTCTTTTATTCATTCATTAAATGAATTTGTAGTTATACGCAGCCTTTATTTGCCTTGACTGTTTATGACGTCAACTGGAAGTACCTTCCTATTCTGAAAAGGGTCATTTGTTTTGGATAAGGATTTTTGTGCTGCCTGCACCATACATTGGCGTTTGAGTGTATTATTATATATGCTACTGTAAGTTATTCTTATTTTGGAAAGGGTGGAAGAAAACGTTCTGTGATTTAATTAAAAAAATAAAAAATTAGAATTTGATTTCATTAAAAGTTCTTTTTTTCCATGAACAGATATTTTTTTTAATTGCTTTAGCTATACCAGTAGTATAACGTGACACATTCTTGTTTCAGGTCCTTTAGCCACAAAAATTTAACTTAAATTCAAAAAGTCAGAAATATCTGAATATGAGTACAGTATATGTTTAAGGAAACTCTGCTCTAATAAGTGGAATACGCCATTCTATATTTTCTTGTTACAGATTGTCCTGAACCACCAAACATAATAATGATTGTGTTGGGTGTTTCATTGTCAATTCTTACCATTGGAATCATCCTTCTAGTCATCTGGAAACTGCTTGTCTCTGTGCATGACCGAAAGGAAGTGGCTAAATTTGAAGCTGAGAGGGCAAAGGCTAAATGGCAGACGGTAGGTTTCAATACTTGTGCAATCAGACTTAAACAATATTGCTATTTTCCTGATCCTTCTAACAACCAGTTTTTTTAAAAAACAATGTACAACTCAAAAGCCAATATCAATCATGTCAAAGCAAGGAGGGCAGAGGGAAACACTGAAGTATGCTGAACTTCAGTCCAAGTGCAATTCTAGGTGTGGAATGTTTAATGACTCCTCAAAAAACAAATACACCTTGGTTTTTTGTCATTTGTGTAAGAAGAGGAAATAACCACATTTCTCAATACTACTGTATGTATTGAGTGTGGCACAACAGGAGTCACTGCAGGGCCCAGTGATGCATAGGGCATGGCCACCTTTTTTCCCTGACACGTGCCTGGAATCTACTAAGACATTCTGTGATACAGACATCTTAAAACTCCTTATTTGAGAGCTATCCAGTAATATTGGAATGCCACTGACAGCCCTGCAACAGTCTGTGTTTAAGGATTTGCTGTCAAACACAACAACTTCAGAACATTTCAAGCATTAAGGAGTACCTGTGTAGTGCTGTGTGGGAGCATATTCCTTGTAACATTGGGCAAATACATCTTTAAAACCTCTGCTTATGCTTGATATATTTTTTTTGTTTGTTTCCATATTTCATATTTGGTAGTGTGCTTTTGATATATGCGAGTATCCTCTAGTTCTGTGCTAGAGAAAAATAAGTAATAACATCTGTAAGTATATTTTATCAGAGTTCAGATGTTTTTTGGACACTAAATTTGTTGCAATGTCTGTTTTGTATATGTTCAAAAGTCATGTTTTATATTTATTTTCACTAGAAAGTTTTAACATTTGCTTTCTTTCTCATCATAGGGAACAAATCCACTTTTTAGAAGTTCAACATCAACTTTTAAAAATGTGACATACAAAAACACTGGAAAACAAAAAGTTGACATCTCTGTGGAAAAATACTGATGGCAAATGTATTTCATCCTAAAATTACGTTTATGAAGCCACGTTGTGAACTGCTCGTGTGCATTTTCACTACCTTTGTGTGAGTGTGTGTCTGTTAAAAAACACTGTTGTAACATTTCAGAACAGGTACCATTTATGGTCATGGATTTCTACATTACAGAAATCCCCTGTGAAGCACTAGTAAATACTTTATACATGCCTTATTAATGATACAGAAGGGCATGCAATAATCCATTATTACCAAAGAAAGGTAACAAGTACCTAACCAGCCTTTAACATGTTGTCCATTTGATATGTTAAGTGCTAATAAGTTCATCATACATACTGTATCTTACAAAAATGCCTTAGAGGTACTTAAAATAAAGTGTAACCAACACTGTACAGTATATGCTGTCACAAAATTACATCATGGTGATTTCTGACTTCACCTACCAATGTTTAGATATTTACATCAAAATGAATAGTTTCTTATCAAAATTTAACTTTGTGTGTTTCAGGGATATTTCCACTTAATGCACTACAAATTTGCTGCTTTGAATTAACAAGAGAAATAAGACACAGAAAAATGTAACTACTGATACTAATGTTTGAGTTGAACACTGGATGTTTTTGTTGTTTTGTACATTTTGTCTTTGAAAACTGAACAAGTTTAGACTCATGAGCACTCAAGTGCAGTACAGAATAGAGGCAATTTAGGTTGAGTTTGTTCTTTTTTAAGAGAAAAGTGTTAAAAATGAAAGAAACTTTTTTTAAGTATACCTGTTTCATTAAGGCTGCGCCTTTATTGGATCAAAACTATGTTTTGTACTGTAAATGGAAATACTATATTTTAGCTTGTTTAGAAAATATGACAATAAAGTTGAACTTTTATTATATGTCTCATTATTATTTATTTTGAAATGGTAATTAATCTACAAAGTCACTATATGTCAGTGCAGTATGCTTAAAGTAAAAGACATACTTCATCTTATTTAAACTTTTTGTTTGTATGCAGTAGCAGAAGTCCGAAAGTGAGTCTACAGTAAGTATATAAAATGAAGAAAATTAATATGTGCATAAACAGACAGAAGGTCAGTTATTTTATTTAGCAAGCAATACACAGTTTACAACAGGGGAAAACTACACAAGAAACATAAAATGTCAGGTCACATTTTATATTTTATTTGTGCTTTCTGAGAGACAATTCTGACTTTCTCTTTGTTTCTATATGTCATACTTGTTAGTGAACATGGACATTAAATGGTAGGTTTTGGGAGTATTGTGTTTGTGTTAGTAGTGATATGGAAATTGGAGTCTTACCATTTAACATGAAGCCTATTCAGTTCTCAGCGTTATCTTCACTAATCAGTTCTCGTATAGCATGGTAAGTGACTTATGGTGCACATACCTGTAATCACAGAGAGCACCCAGTCATTACATTCTTTGAGCTCCTACAGCTGAATAGGACTGTGGTGGTCAAATCACACTCAACACTGTCTCTTCCAATGAAGCATAATAACTGATTTATATTTTAAATATTGGCCTTATATTATTTGTTCCACCTTTTGTAGGAGCTGCTGTTATCTCCAGACATTTGCTTAAGGGTAACGTAACACTTTCTCACACTAAGATACAGTAGGTGTATTGAAGATGTCCCTGGAGACAATTGTATGAGAAGGAAGGATTGGAAGGATAATGTTCTGGTGGCTGCTATCAGACTTGATATAGATATTAGTCAAAACCAGTATATATTGTATAGCATAAATCGTATATCCACAGTAGACACCTGATTGTTTTTGGACTGAAAAACTACATTAAACAATCTCATTCACAATTACAACGGTTACCACAATATCGCATTCATTTTAAGATTCTCTGCAACGTTTCCATGCTTCGAAAGTTGTTTATTTCTATCTCATTTTCCAACACGTGGTGAACAGTAGAAATATGCTGGTCTTTTGTCTTTAAATACTCCTCATGTTGCTGCCGAAGCTTTTGAGTAGACCGGTCTCGTTCTGTGTAATTTAACTCCTAAAACAAGACAGCTACTTTTGTGTTTATAACTAGACAGAGAACGCAAATTTTCCCTTTTATTTTCAGGCTTTTCATATGTTTCTGAGTTATACCTACAACAAACTTCTAGGAAAAATGCATTATTATATTGTTGTATGGGTCAAGGATTAAGAGCAAGCGCTACATAAAACATCTGAATGCTCTTTGTGACTCGCAGAGCTAGACACCCCACGTGTTTTAAACCTCTTTCTATCCTGAGAATTTTGCTGAGAATAGAAAAAACTTTCCGACATAATGTAACTAGCTGTGAACACAAACAAATACACGAGACGTCAAATGTTATTGATTTGTGTTTTCGCTCTTCATCGAATCCCTCCCAGCACCAAATAGTCCTCTCAAAGCAAAATAATCTGGATTATCCTCCCCGCAGAGACAGCAGTGACGCATGAGTCCAAAAACTCGAAGAAAGTTCCCGAGTCCAGGAAAACAACTCGCTCCCGGATTTGCTTTCTCTCGGAATGAGTTTACCTGCTGTTGTAAAAACTGAGTTTGTGCTGGGAAATGAAACAATATCACTTTGTTCGTGTAAAGGTTGGAGCGCTGGCCGTTCTCTTTCCATTGCTTTTTATGAAGAGCTGCAAATCTGCTGCTGATGAAGATGTGGTTTTGGATCAAAACCAACTTTCCGAACACAACAGTAAGTTCAGTCGTCTTACATAAAACAAGACGATTGTTTGCTTAAAGGTCGTTTGTAGTAAATAATATAACAGACACGACATAAAGCATTCTTGTCCTGTAAATTTTTCTGTTCTTCTGGAGTTCGTATTACTAAGGACATCTGTTCCTCACTGCGGGCGCAGTGTGTTCAAGTACAAGTTTTGACTTGTTCACATAATTTTTTTCCCTGCTGCATACACTGTTTTTCCCTTTTTTTACAGGTTACGTGAATCTCCCGAATATTTCTATTTAGTGGTAAACGTTATACTGTAGATTCAATGTCAAGGAGCATTAAAACCGGAAATAATACAAATTTGTTTTCAATACCGTAACATTTTACTATAAAGTTACGCAAAAAAACGCCTAAACTTGGCTTGCCGACAGTACTGTGCAAGTAAAGTGGGAAGTCTTGAAAAAAAGCGAGGTAATGTTGTTTCAGCAAGCTTTACACTTAGTGCGGGCTTGAAAATGTCCCGGTGGCGATTTCCGCCTGTGTATGAATAAAAGTACCGAATTAGTCAGGAAAAAAATAAGTATTAATAAGGGATCTAAGATACGAATTACAGTGATTACAAACATAATGGAAGACTATACATTTAAAATTAAAGGAAGAACAATACAACAAAAGAGCAGTTATTTACAATTTTATTGACCTTAGAGTTCTCAACACGTTTATTGGAAATCACGTTAAAACTCCAGGCGGTATGTAACTTTAGAGACATTGATGTATGTGGATATTAGCCGATGTGAAACACGGACAACATAGTATAGATTAAAGTATTATACTAAAGCTTTTGACATGGCTGGAAATAGGCATGATGAAATAATATATTGAACCTTCACCATGAGAACCATGAGTTTATTATAATGGGTTTAATTTGTGCTCAGAAATAAAAAAGTAATCCTTAATCCATGTCTGGACTGATACTTTTATCCAAAGTAGTATTCATACTGTATGTACCCAGTTATAGGGCTGTGCATTTTACTGAAGAAATCTGAGTGAAGTACCGTTTCCGAGGATGGTGCCTCACCTAGAATTTGAGCTCACAATTTTTGTTTACAAATCGAGATCCCTAAATACCACTGCTCCCTACAGCATTATAGTGTCATAAATCTTTCTGGTTTGGATTATTTTCAGAAGTTCCGATTTTTAATCACCCCTGACTAGAGTAGCAGTCGTACATTTCTTGTTCCGAGGCACATTAACCTAAAAGCTCACTGTCGTTGTCATGATACCAAGGCATTGGTAGCAACTAGGCATAAAGAACCCTTTGCACTACAGTAACCGAGCTTCATGTGCAGAGTGGGTCAAGTGAGGTAATCAGATCTGCATCATGGAAGGTGAAAGAACAAGTGTGAGCCTGCTCTTGTTGATTAGAAAGATAGTCATAATATGCCTCATGCTCTTTAAGTGGAATTTTTTAACCTCAGCACTTCTAGTTAAAAAACAACAAGCTGCCAGCACTAATAGGAATGAATAGTCTAACACTTTAAGCATACCCAGTACACTATCATGGAAAAAAATGCTATTTGTCTTCTACTATTTCAGCTTAGAACATTAATCTTACAAAATGTCAGAGTACACAATGGGCAACATGGTAGGCTCTAATGGTGAAAGGAGTCCAGATTAAGAAGATTTTGGAAAGGAATAATTACATCTCTGTGTCTCCACCTTTTTGCCTAAAGGTGGAATGCCTAGCATTCTTAAAGCAAAGATGACATACAGTATTTGGGCTATAACATTGTAGTCTGTCCCCTAACAAAACCATCAGCAAACCTGAATATGCAAAAAAAGCTGCAATGACAATGTAAAAGAGGTAAATTGTATTCCTTCCGGAGGTTATACGCACCATATAATCTTTCTTATTTTCTTCAGAGTCTCCTTTTATAATTAGTTTATAATTAGTTGTCAAAAGGTCAATTTTCAAACTTACTTGCCGTAACACAAGGTCTTTTTTCCCAGCAGGGACAGCAAGATATCAGTCAAGCCTTTGTGCCGTAATCATGTCTTCTGTTACTTTGGTGGGGCTTTTATACTCGAGGCCCACAAAAGGTCTTTGAAATTTAACCTAACACAGCTATTGAGAAATGCTAAGTTCCATTTCAGTTAAAAATGACATGCACTTTCTATCTGTATCTGTTTTGTTTTATCAGTCATGTCAAACAGTCCACTGCCTTTGAATGGTTCTGGTCCTTTGGTAACTTTCTGTCATACTCTAACATAAATGGCTCTATGTTAATGACCCAAACCTCTCACATTGACAGAGTTATGGAATACTGTGCTTTGTACACCAAGGCTTATGGCTGACATATTCACTGTACCTTGAGTATTGTGTAGTCTTCTGTTGTACTGGTGCATTGCAACAGTCTGCCTTTTCCAAAGGAATGCAAAATTTTACAACATTTGTCAGAAGGGAATCATTTAGTGTCTTAATCTACTGACCCCTGTCCATAAATCTAAAAAAATATTTTTGACAGCAGAAATAGTAACAATTTTTTTGGTAGGGCATGTTGTATCTGAATGTTGTAGGTTCATAAGTAGAAAATTAAAATGATTAAATGTATTTAGTGATTGAACTTGGTGTTTTATAAATAGCCTGCTTCTTTTGAGCTTTTATTTTATAAAATTCCCTGAGCTATTAAAATGGAACTTTAGACTTAATGAGTAACTAGAATTTTATTTTTCCTTCTTTATACATAAACACAATTTTGTGATGATCTATTGAACCCTTAGCCATTTTGTTATGAGATAGAAGGAAATCCTGATAGAGCTGTATTTCTTAACACAATAATAGGCTTTTAGTGTTATGAATGTGTAGAGAGGAACAGATGATGGAACAAATAATGAGGATTACCTGGCAATCAGTCAACACTTCACATTGGCTGCTCTTCAGCCTTAAGTGGCTGTGATCATGTTTGATAAATGATTGCTAGAAAATGTGCAATGGCAAATTGGTTTCTTCTCACCCAATATATTAATTTGCTTTACTTTTTATTTTGCAGTCAAAGGTATTTTTATACTTCAAAGTGTTCAGTTTAAAAGTTGCATCAAATCGGATAAAGCAAAGCTTATTTTGGAGAACTGTGAAAATCCATCCAAATACATGCTGTGGAAGTGGGTTTCCCGGCATAGACTCTTTAACGTTGGCAGCAGCATGTGCCTTGGACTCAACACTACCAATGCACACCAGCCTCTGAACATGTACGAATGTGATTCCACGCTGACGACGTTGTGGTGGCGCTGCAGTGGAAACACGCTCTTTGGAGCTGCTCACTTCAAACTGACTACAAATGGGAGACTCGTTATAGCTAAGAGAACTGGATACCATCAGTGGAAGAGATACTTAACATTAGATGAAGGACCATGTTCTCGTCCTTATGAAGGCAAGTAATTATAATGGCTGTTGCTTATACAGATTTAAGGGGGAACTGCAGTCCCAATTAAACAGACTGGTTATTAAATCTCTGTAACCAAATAAGTGAGTTGACAGTATAGCAGAAATCTGGCAAATTCTGAATTAAGCACAAAATTGTAAACTTTGTGAAAGTCCTGTATGGTTGCCATGTTACAAAACTCTAGTCTCTGTCTGGGTGAGAGTGAGAGTTTGCTAGATCTGTGACTTAAACCAGCCCTTCCTGCTCACTTAGTCACTGCAAAGACTAATGTCATGCAATGTACGAACAAATAGGTACAGATTGTGCTGTAGACATTTCACCGCAGAAATGTTCCAACCTGATCTAAAGGCAGATCTGCAGTTAACAAGTAAGTAGTATTCCTTGGCAGAACCATCTCGATGTCTTGATGTCGAGAGCAATGTCTCTGGATTACAAGAGATGTCTTCCGGCTTGCGTCACCAGATGTTTTTTTGCCTCATTGTGAATTGCAGACAATAACAGCAATATGGTGCTGCACATACTGTACCTGGAAATTTTGTGTATGTTGTGCTGGAAATTGTAGGGGAATTGCAGTTCCCATTTAAATTGGGTTACCAGTTTAAAGCAATATTCCACATGGATGAGTTGAATGTTTTGAGTGTCTGTAGTTCAGTGTGGCACAACAACTAAGCATAGTGTTCTTCTTACTTTTGCAGAGATTCATACAGTTCAGGGCAATGCTCATGGCATGCCATGTGTTTTTCCTTTTAAATATAACAACAAGTGGTACTCGGAGTGCACGGCTGAAGGCAGAGAAGATAACTACCGCTGGTGTGCCACAACTAGTCAGTATGATCAAGATGAAAAATGGGGATTTTGTCCAAGTCCAGGTATCTAGTAAAATATTTTCTTTATATACAATATAATGAATATATCCATCCATTTTCTAACTACCTCATCCAGTTCAGGGTTGTGGGGGAGCCGGAGCCTATCCTAGCAAGCTGTGGACACAAATTGGGATACATCCTGAACAGGACGCCATTCCATCCCAGGGCATATTTAATATACACTGTATATATAGTTTATATTTATAAAATTATTATTGTAGTTCTTTTTAATTGAGATGGTATTGAGTGCAAGCCTAACTGTTCCAGGCAGTCTCTAAAATTGCACAAAGCAGAGGCTATCCAAACTGAGAATATTGTTTTCCTTCTTCAGTCAGTTACATGCATTACAGAGTTAGATTTAATAAGCAAGCTAAAAATATAAACCTACATAATGCAATGCTTTGTGTTGGGTTTGGAATACAGTTCTTTACCACAGTTCTTTTTCTGTTTTATTCAGAGACAGGGTGTGATGTTTTTTGGGAGAAAAACCAAGATACAAAAGCCTGCTACCAGTTTAATCTTTACTCCATTCTGTCATGGAACCAGGCACATGCTTCATGTCAAGCTCAAGGTGGAAATTTATTAAGTATAACTGACCTTACAGAACAAAGATACATCAGAGGTATGGAGATATCTCTGTAATACAATGGCTTTGTCTTCATTTACCTTAAATCTTCCTGGTTGTCAAGTTGAGGTGCCTTTTTACTGAATGAATTAAAAAAAAGCTGAATTATTGTGTAAAATGTTATTTGAAAGTTGTGAAATAACATCACAGTAGTTAAACATTATCTTTGTGATTGTGCCATTGTAATTTTGCTCCTGACTAGAGAGACTGAATGATGTGGGAGTCCTGGTATGGATAGGGTTAAACCACCTGGATGAGACCGCTGGTTGGCAGTGGTCAGATGGAGCACCTCTGGCTCTGGTGAACTTCACCACAGGTGAGGAAAGTTGGTGTTCTTTATCCTCTGTCATGAAGAACTATAAACTGGAGAAAAGAGGTTGATTATCACATTAAATTACAAGATTTCTTCCTGGCCATAAAACTGTGCCTATCCCAAGACTCATAATTCACTGAAAACATTCACTTTATTATTCTTGTGTTTTATTGACAAATACCAGTGGGCAGGAATGTGGTGTAGCATAGTGAGGAAGACTTGTGACTCATGAGTGGCAGGTTGTCAGTTCAAGTCCCTGCAGCAGACACTGTCTTTGTACACTGGAGTAGTTTACCATGTTTGCTCCAGTCCACCCAGCTGTATGTGGGGAAAATAAGGACCAATGTGCTGGTAGGTAATTCCTATGGTGGACTGGTCTCCCATTCCCTTCCCATCATAATCCTTTTAATGCTGTAGAAACCAGGAGGTGCTCTGGCCAGATAAGGCTCTGGTGCAAACTTTTTTTTTACCAGGGGTATTGGAATAGTATAAATGAGATGAGGCCATTTGGTTCATTAAGCCTATTTGGTAATTGGCTGTTAATTTAATTAAAATATTGTTTAATTAGGATTGTGTATTTCATGAACACATTTTCCTTTCTCTGTACACTAGATGACATTGTAAGATCTGTTCCAAGCCCTACGTACCTGTGGAACATCTCGTATTGCATGCTCATTGCGTTGTATATCATGTTAGGCTTCTTCCTACAGTGTATGCCTATGGGTGAAGAAGCTGATAACTGATACTAATACTGGTGTTTGCTTTCACAGACATTTCTATGATGTCACGTGTGAACAATGCATACTGTGGGGTGTATAACTCTGTGTGGGGACACAAGTGGCACAGTCTGCACTGCAGATCTGCACTGCCATACATCTGTAAGAAGAACCCCAATTACTCAAGGACAGCAGAGCTTTTTGGTAAATGACTAGAGTTTTATTAAGAAGATCTGATTTTTTCCATGCTTTTGATTTTATAGAAAGTAAAACTTCATTAGGTTATTTACTATGAAGCTTGAATGTGCAATTCTTTTATTAAATTGCAACATGGCCATTTAACAAAGGGTGCTTAACTGTATTAAGATTTCACTGTTTGAATTTTTAATAACATAACAATATGTAATAGCATGTGCATATTTTATATTAATGCACACTGCTGATTTATTTTAAATACGTTTCTTAATTGACACAGATGTATGGCAGTACTACCCTACAGAGTGTGCTCCAGGTTGGATTCCCCACAACAGGTTCTGTTACAAACGTCAGGCTGAAGAACAAAGCTGGGAAGATTCTTTAGCCTCATGCCATTCACTTGGTGCCAACCTTATAAGCATACACTCTCTGGCAGATGTGGAGCTATCCCTAAACCTTTTTAAAAACAGTAAGTACTGTACAGTGGTCTATGTGAAGAAAATTCACTGGTTTAGTTGTAGGATCCCTAATTTTCGGTGCCTTTAAAATCAAACCTTTAATGTACTGAATGTTTTTTTTTTGTACAGTATATGTATACTTATTTTTCTGTTGGTTGTGGGAGATTTGGGCAGATTATAGTTAAAATAATATATTAAAGGAATCAAAACAAAATGAAAAGTAAAAAGCAAAACATACCTTCCAGATCAGTTTGAAAGTCTCAAACTGTCGTATTATTTTAGTTTTACAGTTATGTAGTTCAAAGTATTTCTGTGTTGTCCTCAGTTCCATTTAATGAGGTGGAAGCTGAAAGTTGAAAAATCAAACTTTCTGAAACTTTTCTCTACATTTGGCATTTTTCAGTGTGGCGTAACATTGTACTGCTCTGCCATAAAAATATTTAATTTTCTATTTTAGTTCTAACACTAAATAATTTGCACTGCACTTATCACCAAGTGCAGAGAAATACAGAAAAATGACTGATTGTTATTTGTTTTAAGTTTCAGAGGCTGAATCAGATGTGTGGATCGGTTTAAATAACAGGACCTCATATACCTTTCAATGGTCCAATGGTTCACCTGTAACTTTTACTAATTGGTATAAATATGAACCCAATATCAGTGATGATCCTGGAAAGCTTTGTGTTAAAGCTAAGAAAGCTGTAAGTTTTTTATTTTAATTTGAAATTGTAAGTTTGAAGACCTAATATCTGGGGAAATGTAGTTCACTTAGGTAGGTCGGACTTATGTAGATGTTTCAAAAAGAGTTGTATTATTAAGAGGATTCCCTGAAATAACTGGTGATAACAGACTTAAGTACTCAGTAACTCTGTTGTGTTGCTGGGCATTATTGTTTATGTTCTGATAGTAATAGCCCGTACAGCATACTGTATACAGTGTACTGTGACCTGAATATTGTGATTTTTTTGTATATTTTAATTATTTGTATTAAGACGGTAGCAAAAGTATCTATCTAAGAGAGATGTTTAAACTAAGCTTTGCACGGACATTGTCAAAGTCTATCATGCCACTTACAAAATGCAAACATTTATGCATTTTTTACATTGTTATAAACATTTAAATTTTTTAATATAAAGGTAGGAAACTGGCAATTGGCATCTTGTGCTGAAAAACTACCTTCAGTCTGTAAAAAAACAGGAAATGTAATACAACAGAAGCCTGGCATTTTGGATGAAGACTGCCCTGAGGTGAGAAAAATAGAATCTGCAGTATGTATCATCTAATTTTCCTCCATATCACGTGAGACCAGAGGGAGTTACTTTTGTGTTTCAGTAAATGCCTGATGTCAGTTTGCATCCTCTGGAATAATCGCATAACCTTAAAATAATTTAAATTAAGTGGTTTTGCCATTAATTTAAATTATTTTGAAAAATTAATGTATTCATTAGTCATAGCTTTTGGGTTGGGTTGACAAAGACCGTTTTTCATTACGATCAGAAAAAAATATGCACAATCTGCATTATAGAGGCTATGATAGATGTATTGAAAGGGTACTTTGCAAATTTATGTAACTATGTCTGTTGTGGATAATAAGTTCTCTGATTGCTGTCAGTTGGTGATGTATTGTCTCACATTTATGTGCTGCTATTTACCAGGAAATGTTCCCTTTGACTCATCAGCCCCATTACATATTTCCGTAAAATGGGAATGCTGCCACCAGACGTTAAGTAACATGTACAGTGCAAACAGTGAATATGTTTGCGGACTTATACTAAGTAGACAATCACAAAATTTACAATAGCAGTACTTTTGTAGTTTTATTTATGCAATAGAAAACATGGTTGAAAAAAGCTGTTTTACTTCACATGAATATATTCATGTTAGCCTGCTCCATATTTATTATTTGTGTGCTAGAAAATGTTTATGAGCATACAGTATATTGTTATTGGTATCTGTTGTTAGACGTTTTAATTATTATACACATTAAAGCCGTCATGACAGTTTTAGAATACACAGAAAGCATTCATTTTAGAATTGTTAAATTGTAGGGGTAATTTGAACACAACATCATTCTTTCAAATACAAAAAAACATGCCTATGTTTATTTATTCAAGAAAATAAATTTTAGAAAAACAACTTGAAAAAACATTTTTCTTCATTTGTGACCATGGAGTCTTGTTAGTATTTTCAAACGGTCAACACATCAAAAGCTGCAAATGTAAGCCACTTGTAAAAACACACAGCGTATTAGCAGAGTTTTACTCTCACATGGTCCTTGTGAGAGTGTCACGGCTAATTTAAAACTTCATCCTGGACTTTGTTTGTTGTTTTCTCCTGACTTTTGAACATTTATGAAATCTTCCTGTTGAATGAAGAGATTGGAATGAAATATTCAGTGCTTTACACTATAAAGGATTAAACAGGACATTGGTGGCATTGTGTTTAAAATGAAACAGATCTAGGCAGCAATGTCAGTGTAATCACTAGTTTTTCAAACACTTCTAATCTGGTGACCTTAGGCCAGAGCTACATCAGGTCATGGACAGATTGAGTTTTTAGTGTCACCCTCTTTAGCAGTAGTTCTGCCAAAAACTAGTGCAAAGGGCACGTACACAATCTGTACATTCAGTACAGTTTCAGTGGATAGAATTTGATAAATGACATCACTGAACAACCACCTTTCTCTTTAATGTATGTCTGTAGGTATGAAACGTGAGCACTACAATAATGAAAAAGTCTTTGAAGCTCCATGTATTAAACCTTTTTTGTAAAAATGCAGATTATTTCCTTGCTCATTGTCAGCCACACACGTGTAACATTATACCAAACACTAAAGAAAAGATAACACATTTACCTGCTTTTGTTTTGTCCTTAAGCCAAATGAGTTACTGAAAAGCAGTAGAATGAGCTCATTCAACTGAATTATTTTGCTTCTTCCTTTTTTTGTCATAGGGTTGGAAGCGAAGAGGTAGTTTTTGCTACAACATTACAAGGCATTTACAGACTTATGAAGATGCTTCCCAGGGTTATTACTGTAATGCTCCACTTGTGATTGTGGAAAACAGGTAACAAAACTACTCACCAATAACTAGAAAAACTATTGCAGCCAGCTTCTGAATTGGTTCCATCACCAAGTGCTTTTTTGAAGTGTTCCACAATGCCATAACTAATCAGTACATTTGGGAACAGGGCTTCCTGAGCCATTTCAATTTTGTACTGAAAAAAATGCTTGCATGGGGTTTTATTCACTTGTTGCCTATAAGTCTTAATGGAAGAAAGTACAATCATTTTACAGTAGTAACTAAGCTATTTTAATTGCAGGTATGAGCAAGCATTCCTAAAGAGCTTGTTATACAATGTGAGTAAAGATGAGGACCATTACTTCTGGATAGCTCTTCAGGACAGGAACCGGACTGGAGAATACAGCTGGCTTTCCCAACATGGATTTTCCCAGCCTCTCCTCTTTACAAATTGGAACAAATACCAACCAGGTGTGCAAAGTTAATCTCTTTTCCAGTGATTAATGATGCTGCATGCTACCGCAATACTACACGGTCTTAGTAATTCAAAGACAAAAACACAATTGTTCCTTATATTACTATAGCTTTAAAAATGTAAGAGCACTAAATTCATGAGGAAACGGTGCATTTATATTAGACAGTTTAAACAGAATATTGGATTTTTGTCCTTGCCTTTCATACAGTATGAACAGTATATACTATAGATTTGTATCTTCCTGTATGTATGAGGTCCTGACTCCTGGATGACTCCTGTTGTATAGATTTGTAGTCTTGGACCACTGTCAGATCTGGTTGTTACATAGATACTGTATGAATATCCTCATGTGCTCTGTTTGTCTTGCATTGTAGTCCTTGGTTTGTTAACCCAGTGTAGTCTCACATAGAAGTATTAGGGAAATAAAAAACATTCTACTAAAAAAAAGACTATTAGAGTCAAATACTGGATCATCACAGTCTCCGGTCTTATGAAGGTAGATAGACTTTAAGGCTGCAACTGCACTGAGCAAACAAAACCTGATTGGCAGAATTCAGTGCTACTGTATCTATGAGGAATGTGCAAAAATATCTCCAGAAAAATACCATAGCTCATTTCAAAATACAAACAATGTAAGGGTTCCCAAATGTTTTGTCAATCTATGAATTACTGTGCCCATGACAGCATTAATTACATTGTATGCAACATTTTCTTTTTTATATCAAAACAGTACAATTTTACTGCCCATATGTTCGTGTCTAGTACTTTTATTTGCAATATGTTGTTGTAAATGTATGCAAATATACAGTTATGTGGGTGTTGATGTGTTTAGTTCACTTATATTGAAACATAAAGGGACATACTGGGCTCTTTACCATCATATTTTTATTCTTTACAACATTATAAAGTTAGTTTGTTTAGACATCATGTAGACATCTGGTCTGTTCAAGGTGGTAGCTTTAGAACAGCATTTTTTCCTTACTTGGTTATTAATAAATATAGTAACATGATTCTTCAGTTAACATTTTCTTGAAACATGTAAGAGGTTGCTAGTGTTTTACTGATGCAATAGATTGAAAATAGCTACAGTATAGTGCATCGGAGGTGCAGCCAATATTAAAAGGAAAGATTAGATAAGCCGTTCTCTGCTAAGCTCCTTCTTGGCCTTCCGTTTCCGTCTATGCATTGCAGAGATTTGGGAATAGAGTCAAAAATAGCTGGAATTCCGACCCTTGGCGTGGGTGTTGATGTTTGCTGTTTTCTGAGCTGATGCGTGTTAGTGCTGGTGTTCGTGTTGAGGCACTGTGGAAGGTGCCTGGTATGAGGTGTACCTTCGTTTGTGCCCTCCTAAATTTCTCTCTCTGACAGCTTAATACCGCTGCCTTTGAGCATGAGATGCTGCAAAACATACTTTCAAGTGTTTTTTTTTTATTTCAAGTGATTTGAATGATACACAGCTAGTAGGAAGTAAAAAAAACAATGACAATGTTGGATTTAATCCTGTGCATCCAATTAAAAAGATTTAAGGCTTTTGTTTTTTAACAACAGAATTTCAGTTTCCCAAGCAAATGGTTAAAAAGTAGAGAGAGCAGATAGTGGTGATTAGTTAACTTTTTACATTATGCGTAACTTCATTTTTTATGTACCGTATGCCTATCACCAATGTAAGGGAGTTTCAAACTGTAACATTCTGTTTTTTCAGGCTCTGTATTTTAGCATTTGAGTTTATTTATCTGTGGAAGGTCCATTAAAGGGTTGCTTGAATTTGAACAACTCTGCACTTCAGGACTCTGTCGTCTCATTTTACATTTTTGTCCAACACAGACTGGCTGTGAAAACAAAAACATGATTTGTGTTTTGATAAGTATCTACCATTTTTTAGTAATATCCGAAAACGTTTAATTTGTTTTTTTAATCAGTCATTTAATATGTTTATTTAATGGAGCAGTACTTTAACAGAGCTGTTCATAATTCTTGCTTTTAGTATATTGGGTTAGTTCTTTATCATGCCTGTAACTGAAGAGCCCAGACTCTCAGCTTAAGGCTTATTTGTTTTATTGGGGCACCCTGCAAGTGAAAGAATTGGAATTCAGGATGCAAAATATGGCAAACCCACAAATGTCTCAATGTTTCAGTCATTTCGTAACAATTAAATGAAACCCCTCTGTGTCAAATCTTTTTTTTATTTTAGTGTACAAATTAAAGTAGATTTTTTTCGTTTTGTGTGTGTCCCATTGCAGTCAGTTCTGGTGGCTGTGTAGCAATGTCTGCAGGAACGTCTTTGGGTCGCTGGGAGGTAAAAGACTGTGAAACATTTAAGGCAATGTCAATATGTAAGAAGCCTATAAGTACTTATAATGTCACCCAGTCCTCCACTATTAACATCGACCAACGTGCCCCATGTCCACCTGGATGGACATCGAAACCTGAGCTTCTTCACTGTTACAAGGTAAAGTGCTCTCAATTATTGTTGATTTTGTGTATTTTTTAAGTTCATTAAAGTAAAATGTATTACAGTACACCCTTGGTTTAACCGACAAATTGGGAGGAAGGGGTTTCCATAATTGCTGGAACTGTATGAAATCACAAATGTGATTTTTTTTTCAGCCAAAAACACATTTTTATGTGAAAAAAAAATACTGTATCTATGCTTTCTTGATCTTTTACTTATTATTGTAACAATTGCAATGAAAATTGTTCAGGTGTCTTCTTATCATAAATATACAAACTCTTTATTTCACGTGTTGTAAATATACTGTATACAATTCATTTTTACATTGTTTTATTATTATTATTGTTAGCATTATAGTACCTTTTATACAATGAATGTTTTTTAAAAATTTGCAGAATATCACAAAACAACACCCATTGCAAGCGATTAATTATTGTGGAGCAATTCTGGGATTCCTGATTTTACAAAGAAAATTCCTCTTTAGTGGATTTCGCCGTTAGATTTAATGTCAGTTGAAATGAGTTTGCTGGTTTTCCTGCTTAAGGTGGTAAGAAGCTCAAGTAGGAAGCCGTTCTCACCGATTTATTTTTGATTCTTTAATCAAATCATTAAATGTATACTACAGACAATGCTTATATTTTCAGCTGAAAGAAAAATTAACCTGTATATTGCATACCTATTTCGGTGTACAATAACCAGTCAAAGAATAGTCACCATGTCCTGAACAAAGAGCATTGATCATTACTGTGCTGTTATAATCCTTAGTATACCACATTGTGTAGATGTCCAAAATGTATACCTTACTTTACAGGTTTACCACAGTGAGAAGATTTTAATGAAACGAACATGGGAGGAAGCAGATGCATTTTGTCAGGATCTAGGAGCTAATCTTGCCAGCTTCAACCATTATGAAGAGGAAATCTTTTTGAATGAGATATTACAGAACATGTTTGACGGGTAAATAAGAGACAAATGTTAATTTTCCTTCATGCTGCTGAAGGTGTCGTTTTAATGTTAATTTCTTGATTAAGATCAGCTGATATTTTTGAAAATACCATTTTGATTGTTGAAGGATTTTAAATCTTTAAACTTTCAAACAACGTCTTGAATACTGAAATTGTAAATCTAATCCAGCATTAGGGAGGTACTAGTAAAGAGTATTTGAGAAAAGAGAAATATTAAGCATGTTTCAAGATTATTGTTTTTACGTTTTGTTAATATACAACAGTGACTCTTAAATTTAATATGAAATATGTTCTATCCCTAAATTAACAGTTGCATTAGAAAAAAGGCTTGTTTCACAAAATTCTGTGTAAAGGATTATCTGTATGTATGTTAAGTCTCATTAATGGATAGCATGAACAACCTGGTAAGGTTTGGTGCAACGTTAATAGAAGTGATATTGAATGACTATACTATTTAAACCCGATTTCTTGTGTCTTTTTAATCAAGAAATGATGAAGATCGATGGTTCTGGGTTGGATTTAACAAAAGAAACCCCCGTTCTGATGGTGCCTGGGAATGGTCTGATGGTACACCAGTAAGTGCAACTCGTGAAATTCCGAGAAGTGCATTGGATGACAAGATGTTGTAGCATTGGATTATACCACATAATGTGCCAGTCATACTTCACAACAATTGATATATTATTATATTGAATTTAATTGTCATTTTTTTACATCATTTTTCTTTTTTCCTCATTCTTCCTTAGGTGGTTTCTTCATTTATAGATGACAAAAACAATGAAGATGATAAACAGAATTGTGCCGTTTATAGAACTAATATGGTGATGCCTCAAAGATGTGATGCAAAACATGAGTGGATATGTAAAATGCCTAAAGGTAAAGTATGTAGCAAAACTCTGAGCTGGAGTAGATTTGAAGTACTGCACGTTAAGTATCCCTGCACCGAAGCAAAGAGATCACAACAGCACCATGGTTCAAGTGAATTATCAAGTTAGTAAATGGTCACATTATATAAAACGAACCAGCATCTTTAAGTACATTGTGATGTTTTTGTCTAATTTTTCTTTCTTCTGGGTCACAAACTATTTTTATGAATGCATTTTAAATTGAATAGTAATGTGTTATCTTTTTTTCAAATCTAGAAATCTGGCATTTCTTATGAGTTAAAATTAAAAACAACATAATCGTATGTTATTAGCATACACATCTTCCTGTTGAGATTCTGCTATTCTGGGAGTTTTTTCTGATTAAAAGCAATCTGTTATTAATTCTGTATGTTTGTTTCAGGTGTAGAATTAAAGAGACCTTACTGGTACACTGAACGTGAGTGTTTTTTCTGCTAATCTTTTAGATCATTTGTGTAAGGATTTGAACATTTATAAGTTTCATTAACCTGTAATTATTTTTTTGATATTTAGAGAATGAACCATGGGTTTTCTATAAGGGATCGGAGTACTACTTTGATACTCAGTCCTTTCCTTGGGAAACGGTGTCCTTTGCTTGCACAATGATGGGAGCTGAACTAGTCTCAATTCAATCTTCAGAAGAAATTAACTTCATTAAAACCAGAATTGAAAAGGCAAGTTGGTGAATAAGAGAAAATAACTTAGCAGTGTGCTAGACCATTTAATTGCAGAGGCTTTTTTATTTTTCAGATTGAATGTAAAATGCATTTTTATTTTAAAAGGAGACGATGTTCTTTGTTTGAATAGTACGTTTTTTGTAGGTTATGAGTGGGAATAGTATGCAATTCACATTAAAAATTCACATTAAGAGTTTCAGTAGAATAGCCTCATACATTGTATTTTCATAAAGTGTAATGCCTTTTTGGTTGAAGAAGCATTAGGGTGTTTGTTTATTATTTGTGAAAATCGTATAATGTGTACAAGTATCTGTAGAGGTTAAATTGGAATAATGATTGACAGTACAGTTTTTTTGTATTCTTTTTCTTCACAGTTGTCAAAAAATGATACAAAGTGGTGGATTGGCTTGTTTCCAGATTTGATCCAATCAGAATTTAGGTAAGGATATATGCTGTTCTTACGATAATGTAAGGCTGTGTGTTATTTGGCTATATTAATTGCAGGGATTAATTTAATCCTAGATGGAGGGATGGATCACCCTTATATTATGAGAATTGGGAAGACAGGAATTCAAGACGATCACCTCTAAAGAATGACCAATGTGTCTACATGGCATCACACTCAGGTGAATAGAGAATCATTTGATTATAAATGTGTTGTGTTTTGTTTTGTTAATTGGTCCTGGAGTGAGTGTGTGTCTGTCTGCGTCTGCGTGTGCCCTGCGAGGGACCGGCATCCCATTCAGGGTGCCATGCAACACTGAATAGGATAAAGCGGTTAGAAAATGGTTGGATGAATGTCATTAATAAAATGAAAATTGATTATTTCTATTGATGACTGAAATTTTTTATAAAGAATGAACAATGTAGTACAGACGTCCCTGAGAAACATCATTGGATTTGATTGAAGTTTACATATTCTAATTTAATCTTAATGTGTTAGCATATTCTTTGTTACATTATTTGGACACTACAGTACATACTACTATATTTTGATTTGTGAAAAGGTGCTATGCTGTTGACTCTCAGGATACTCTGAGGTATCATGACTCTCCATCAGACAAATTTCGTGAGTTACTCAAATTAAATCAAAACCTGATTCTGCTTACAGAGGTAGAGGTTTCAGGAATGACCCTTTTTCTTGGCTAATGACTGTTCATTCTGCCTTCAGTTTGGTATCGTGTTCTTTATTGTCTAGAAGAATAAAAGCATACAAGTGAACTGTCAGTGAAAAGAAACATGAAACATGAAAATAATGTATTTTACATATGATCTGTATTTCTAATAAATTACAGGGCGGTGGTCAGAGGGAAAGTGCAGTGACCACCACAGTTACATCTGTAAGCGCAGAACTGTATCAGTTGTAGAAATTCCCAGAGAACCCCATCACATAGGAGCCTGTCCAGAAAAATGGCTTTACTTTGGCCACAATGTAAGGTTTTCGGTTCTTTATAATTATTTTGCTTTATTTGATCTGCTGTCAGGGAATATGGGTTAGGTCAGCATTGTGGCACAGTGGTTAACATTTCTGCCTTGCCTCGCTGGGGTCCTGGGTTCAAATCCAGACGTGTGTGCTATCTGTGTGGAGTTTATATGTTCTCCCCCAGTTTTCTCCTGGAGCTCAGGTTTCCTCCCATAGTCCTGGTGTGAACTGAAATCCCCTTCAGGATGTACCCCTCCTCATGCCCCTTGCTTGCTGAGATGGGCTCCAGCTCCTCCACCACACTGAATTAGAAGATGTATGGATAAATCAATATGGATTTTGATATTGTATAAGATGTGTCTAATTTGAATGCATTTGTCCAATTTAATGCACAGTTAGAAATGTTTGCTTCCAGGTATAAAGAGATTAGAATGTACATAATCATATACAGTAATTATTTTTTATTCTAGTGGTACTGTTTAACTCTAGAAGAACACTCAAACAATGCTATGTAATGTTTCTGTAGTAGGAGTAGTTTTCAAATAATTAAGACAAACAGCTCATTATTTTACACCATGATTGATTATGGTTGATTGCATTTATGTTTCATTAAATATTTTTTTGCACCTCTAGCAGAACAATCACTGAATTATATTTCTGTTTTGGTCTCAGTGTATTTTGATTAATTTACCAAGCCAGTCTGGTGAAGGAAAGAACTGGAGTGATGCTCAGGCTGCCTGTAAATCTCTTGAAGGATCTCTCATTTCAATTGACAATGAAATAGAGCAAGGTACAGTATACTGCCTGAATTTATTCAAAATTACTTTTAAATGGACTCTTATTGTGATAACTGACCCTGTATAAGTGCAATTGATACCAGTTACATGCTCAAATAATCTAAGGCTTAGCTTATTATTAAAGTGAATAGAATAACTAGGGCTGTCAATTAATTTTATTTGACTAGCAGGTGTTTATGGAATTTTTATATTTTGAATGCTGTTCCTGTCTGAATGCTGGTGAAGCCTATGAGAGAAACCTGTTTTCCATTTAAGAAGTTAGTCTCCTATTTAAAATGATGCATATTCAGTAAAATGTTGAATTTTTTAATGTAATATTTTTTGGGAGTGCAGAGCTCTATTTATATCAGTAGCTCTTGAGCATCAGCAGGCCTAAGCTGGAGGTCAAACCACTGATCACAAACCATTGGTCTGGCAAGCCAGAATCCGGCCTCAGTGGGACAATACCTGTCCTTCTTTCATCAGGAGCACAGTCCTGAACACCATGCAGGCACCACCTTATTGGCTTCCTACACCAATATAATGCAGTTGGCTCAGTAGTTACATCACCAGCAATACAAAGAAAATAGCTCTCTCACTGAAGGACCCACTGAGGTGGTAACTGTCAGCCACATGCTTCTGTCCTCATTGGAACTATTCCAGTTGTTGTATTTTTGAGATATGAACAGCAATGTCTTTTATAGTCTTGGGTAAGACATGCTCTTTATTATTGAAGTCCATTGTGATACTACACAGTAGGTGTATTTCATTCCAGCAAAGTCAGAATTATACTGGAATGACCAAAATAGATCATGATCAAAATAGGTGGTATGTCAGCTTTCCCATGTGGATGCATTTTCTTGTGCAAGTGGTTTGTTATTACTTACAAAGTTTTTATACATATGAATATTTTCCTTTTGTCTTTCACAGCTTATGTAACAATGCTGCTTATTGGAGGCACAACAAGTGTCTGGATTGGTCTGCAGGATGATGGCACAAATAAATGGGTTAATGGAAAACCTGTAACTTACACTAACTGGTCACCCATTGAACCAGAGAGCTTTGACCCTGTACGTATAAATACATTTTATTAAAATGTTGTTATAGATTATTGGAAAAATAAAATGTAAAACTGACTTATTTGTCATAGATACACTTTTCCTTGAGAGCTGATCTACAGTGCGCCTGTATTTTTTTATTACATATGCACAAATAACAGTATATTCACCTGATATATCACCTGATATTGAAGGGAGATTTGATTTTCTTTCCAGATTAACTCATAATAATTGGTTCTAACTTATGCCTTTGTGTGGCCTACCTGCTTGTTACAAATTTTGTTAAACTGTTTCTGCCCTTAGTCCTTGGTTGTAAAAATAACTTACACCAGGAAGATTTCCTACAGCTTCTGCATCCAGAATTGTATGTGTGTTCTCATGAATTTTGTTTATTAAGAGTTTACTTCTTTATTTATGAATAATCATCTGTTAATAGGTGATGGATTTATGATAGACCTGCACAGGAAATTGGGAGGGACAACTGAAAGAGGGCTTTTGTTGCTTACAAATTGCTAAAATGGATACCAACTGCAAAACACAGCTTTAACAAATGCTGCAAATAGAAATCAGCCAGCAATGAAGAACATGGCTGGAAAAAAAACAAGACACAGAGGTGCTCCAGGATCAGAGTTCATATTTCACAGACCTCTCATATGAACTGGAAAAAGACGTAAAATCATTAGACAAATTCAAATTTTACTGTCTTTCAAATGCAGCTTTTTGTACTTATTACAGAATGAAGATGATTTAAAAGGTAGTGATACTCCACTTTGCACATTGATGTCCAACAATCACAACTATCATCTGTCTGGAAAATGGTACAACCAGCCATGTCTTGAACATGAGTATGGATTTGTATGTCAGAAGCCGCAGGGTAAGGTTATCTTTCTCTTTTAAAATGACTTGGATGTCTGTGAAATATTTATATCTCATTAATTGCAACAATTCCTCATTGATTTATTTTGATCTTTAAATATACTGCCACCCCAATCTACAGGATTTGTGGATTTGTGTTTTGGGCTCATTTTTTAACGTTATGGGTGGTGTGGTTGTGTGGAATTTAATCCTGTCTTAGACCGTGATAATTTCCTCCCACGTCCTAAAGATGTGCTGTATGTGATGGACTGTGATTGTCCTACATTGTGCCCCATGTTTCTGGGTTAGAATCTGTGTTATTGTTGATACTTATCAGTGACATTCTGACAATGGATGGTAGGATGCTTAAGTTTAAACATAACATACATGTGCCCAACCAGCAAAGGTGCTTGCTCAGTGCACAGGTTGAGCACTAAGAATCCAGTTTCAACCTGAGATGAATGACCATAGGAGGCAAGAAGAGCATATTCTATGTACCTACTGTACTTCTCTCCTTAATGGGTGTGGGAGTCATTACTGGAGAGCTGAGTCTTGAGAACAATTGGCAATTCTAAATTGGGTGGGTATATAATTAAAAATAATTGTGTTAAAAAATGTCTGTGTCTGAAAATTGCTAGCCCTGGCATTTCTTCTTCTACCCTTGCAGTTCACCATTTTGATTGATGGGAATTACCTGTTTCCTTAGTTCCTTTTTCTTCTTCTTCTTTTTGAACAGACCCATCTAAACCTCCATCACAGTCATATTTTCATCCCCTTCCTGAAACAATTGAATACAAGAACCGCAGCTACAGGGTTATTCATGGCAACATGACCTGGTATGAAGCCCTGAATAAATGCTTAGAAAAAGAATCTGAGCTAGTGAGCATTACTGATGAGTTTCACCAGGCTTTCCTTACAGTCATTGTGAATAAATTGGCACACCCACACTGGATTGGACTATATAGTCAAGACGTATGTATTTCTGTACATTTAAACTGTTTAGCAGTGTGGTTTTGCAAAAAGCTGCATGTGAAGACTGTGCTTCAGCATGAAATCTGTTTGTATGTCCCAAGGCAGATCATAATGAAACCTACGAAACTGTTGTTAAATGTTGAAGGTGATGTGGAGATGAATGAACTTGCTCCCTGATATTGAAGTGAAATACATGTGCTGTATGTCATTCTTAAGACTAATGTGTAAGGTTTGATGCTTTGAGTGTCTTTATGTCAAAGTCATTGTCTATCATCTTTAGCTGCCTTACTTGTTATGCCATGTTATCATTTTTCTAGTGTGGTTAATTACATTTTTATCTTTAAATCAAGAAATCACTGAAAAAACTATCTGTAAATTGAATAGCCAAATACAATTATTTAGCCACCCAAATTTTAGTAAAACATTAGTAAATAACATCTATCCTGAATTATTTACTGTATATTACAGTATATTACTGAATATATTTCAGTATATTTTGGTATCACTTTACTTGATTGTGGCTAAAAAAAGGTAAACGTGATATACCAATATGCATAAAAACCATCTAGCAAACTAAAATCTTGGGTGACAATGCTAGATCCACTGTTAATGACCTGTGTTGGCAGAAAGTCCTTGTCGGTTTCAAGTCCTTGGTGGTGTCTTCCATCACTTTCACCTGAATTCTCTCTGCCTGGAGTTCTTCTCTTAGCTTTTACCTGAATGTAGGTCTCATTATGAAGAGTTACAAATAATTGCATGTCTGTAAAGTCATTTGCACAATAGGTGGTAAAGAATTATATATGTGTTCTGTCTTGTTTATGAAAGAGTCGTGACAGTTTCTGAGCCCCATTCAAGTAAAGCAATACTATTATTTCTACATATTACTGAAAGAACTGTAGATTAGTAATTATATATTAATGAGCAAATGTCTGCTTTATGTATTGTAAAGAATTAATGTGGCTGCATTGCACCTACTGACTATTGAATTGCTTTGCTTGGCCAATTTTCCCAAAATGAAAATCTAATAGACACACAAGTGAAGATCAGTCATTTATGTGTCGTGCTTAGCATTTCCTCCAGATGGTTTTGTTCCAACATTAATCATCAAGCTGAGGCCTTTTTTTAGTGATTTATTCACATGAGCCATTACATTTTATGTACTCTAAAACATCCTAACAGTCTTAACTGATAAATATGTTCAGATTATTTTTTTATTATTCTTCACATGGAATATGTGGTCTAGGTTTCCTAAAATTAATTTGACCAAAACGTAAGCACAATAAAATATTCTTTTTCCATTTAGGAAATGTCATTTATCTCTTTGATTTTATACATAAGGCATAATAAGGTTTAATAGGTTTAATAAGGATACTGTATGTTAACTAACTTGAATGGTGTAATCATGACTTTTTAATTGCAGACTTACTGTTTTATATTGTTTATTTTTTACAGCAAAATGGAATTAGTTATCAGTGGTCAGATGGCAGTGCTTCTTTTTTTACTCACTGGGACGATAATGATAATGACGAACATTTACTTGGTGACTGTGTGTATATGGACATTAATGGCAAGTGGAAAAGGGCTGACTGTGAAACTCCTCTTCGGGGTGCTGTGTGCCATGAGCTCCTGAGTAAGTTAAAACATTCCTGAGTGTCATTCCTGGTTTCAAAACATTAATGTTTTAAAATAAAGCTTTGGATTTCAAATGGAAAGACCTTTAAATTCAGCATCAGGGTTTCATAAAATGGAGGACCTCATCCAAGTGATCACAAAAGACCTTCAACTGCCAGGAGTAAAGCTCATCTGGTTATTTTTGGATGGTTTGTGAGATTAATTTATATACCAACAAATGGGTTAAACACATTGAAGGTGAATGAAAGGATAAACTTGGTACAAGGCTGTGACACGTTGACATGTTACTGCTGGAAGATAAATAAAAGAATTATGTATTTTGATATGTCTTATCACAAACAAAAACAAGAGGCAGCTTTGTATTCTACCTTGGCTAATTATTGTTAATGTTGAGCATGCAATAAACTAATAGGCTTATTTTGTGTTATGTGTAGTAATGGAGTATCATGTATTATAAGAGCTAAGAACCTGTTGGAACACATTGTGTATACAGCCAAAAGCTTACAAAGTAAACATTTTCTTGATAAATATTTTGAAAGAAACCCCTTTCAAGTGTAAATATATTCAAGTGATAATATATGAGTCAATTGCCTTTAAAACATGAGTCTGAAAGTGTGGTGTAGCCTTATTAGCAAAACCAAAAAATCCAAAAATTCAACAAAGCTTATACCATTTTTTTTTCACAGAAAGTGAACCCATTTCTTTTAAAACGGAGTGCCCAAAGACGTGGGTGAAGTTTCAAAGCAGCTGCTACAGTTTTGAACCGGTTATGATGAAACTGAGCTTAGAAGATGGCCAAACACATTGCAGACAAAAAGGTAAAGATCAAACTGGTGATTTCATAATTAAGCTAAAGCAGCTTACAGCAAAGCAGTTTCCTTCTTTGTTTTTAAATCTTCCTGGACCTTGAAGCTGTCAATTCCAGAATTTTCTATTACCAACAGTTTTATGTTTCAAGAGCTCCCCCCAATGGATGTTTTTGCAGAAGGTAAAGGATTGCTTTTCAAAAGCTGTAGTTTTCTGAATTATAGTATGTGTACATTTAGTCCTCTACCTTATCTACAGTGCCTTGCGAAAGTATTCGGCCCCCTTGAACTTTTCAACCTTTTGCCACATTTCAGGCTTCAAACATAAAGATATAATTTTTTTATTTTATGTGAAGAATCACCAACAAGTGGGACACAATTGTGAAGTGGAACGAAATCTATTGGATTTTTGAAACTTTTTTAACTAAT